ATATAAAGATGCCCAGGAATATTGACCCAAGCCTAAAAATTCTCAGCTTGCTTAATTGCTACATTAGTACTCATTAAATGATTGGAAGATTTAAGCCTTGAATATAAAGAGATTTTCAGCTTGAGCTAGTAAATATTCATATTTTTCTAAAGCATTATGATAAACAAGAAATTTTAAGAAGTATAAAGTTTATATTTTGAAAAAATTCAAATTTACCTCATATTTTCTCTAAGTCAAAATGGTTTTATTGTACTCCATTGCAAAGTAATGTGGTATGAAGCCAAAGCCTTAACTTTTGCTTGATATCCAAATAAACTAGATTAAATATATTACCAAAAAATTTTGACTTTATGAGGAAAAATGGAATATGATCCTCAGCACTATAAAGAATGGCAGGAAAATTTAAAATTAAGAGGATATCCATTTTTTTAAACCTTATTTTCCTTAATACTTTCTTGCAGTTACCTAATTTCCATTTGTATTCTTTCAGTGTCACCAAATCTGTAGTGATAGCAATGTTTTAAAACATTTCCCTTTGGTGTAGCAAGCATAAAGTATCAGGGTAAAAAAAAGAGAATGAATATAGAACAGAGGTAAAGGAATTATTTTTGGACAGAAGACATAAGTATCTTCCTCTGGATGAAGAGCTAAAAGGGCAAGTGTAATAAAGATTTATATAGTTTTGAATGAGGGATGGGAAGTTGAAATAATCTATTTCAAAGGGTTTCAATTTTCATGGAGAAGTAAAAGGCAATATGAAAAGTAGAAGTCAGCATGGGATAAGGATCTTGAAAAATGTCCTGAAGGTTTTACACAGCAGCTGTAGGGCATGAGACCCAGGGACTGATACAGGTAGCAAGTTCAAAGCCTCCCCTTCTGAGGCTGGGTCACATGCAATGTGAAAGCATCCATCCTCACTATGTGATTCAGGCAACTGTTTAGCTGCCCGGATGTAGGAGGGAATACGATTTGTAAAATTAGCACATATAAAGTTTTCTTTACCACTTAAAAATTTTTTTATAACTGTTATACTCTGTTACCTCAATTTTTGTTATTTTTCCTTAATGAAAGTAAGAAAGAACCCAATAATATTCTAGTCCAAACTACATTTTAAAAGTTTTTAACTTTAACAACTCCAGAATATAATGTGAAATCAAACATGATCTATATGTCCCCTATGATCATTTTTTAATGTGTTGCTTTCTTGCTGAATGTTAACAGAAACCAGAAATGATACTGACCTAAGATTTTCAACTCTGCGTTTGCATAAATAGCTCCATATGTGTTTTCAGCTATGCACTGGTACATGCCAGCATTTTCAAAAGTCACGTCGTAGAGTCTCAATTCTCCTTTATGATACTGAAAAGAACACAAAGGAAAACACACTTCCTCGATAAACTTCAACAGAAACGCTTTCATTTAGGTATGGGCTTGGTTGTCTTTTCACTTAAATACATTATTCTTCCCCCACTGTTAACCAAGTCTAAGTTGAGTGAAGGGGGATGTTCATGGCATGGGGAAGTAAAACCCACTCACCATGCCCAGTGGCTCCTGTTCTAGTCCTGCTACAGAGCTGAGAGTCCACCGTTTTCCCTGTTGGCCCAGCTGGGCGATTACAGTGGGAGGGTAGAGAAGGACCCCACTGCTGCTACTTGTCCCCAGGGCTAAAGATAGGTGACCTTCACTCTTACCTCTGTGTCTGTGGGGTCAGGAAAACAGTGGCAAGAAAAAGAGGACAATATCAGGTAGTAGAGGTGGATGAGTGAGAAGAGGGGTAAAAATGAAATAAAGGAAAAAATAAGGAGAGAGAGAAAGAGAAGGCAGACATAAGATGGCAGAAAGTTGTTTAAGCTGAAAGAAGATAATTTATGTTCAATTTCTTGTTCACTTTTTTAAGGAAACTTTCTTATCTCAGGACTCAGGTCCCCTTACTATATAGACTCTCCTGCTATATTTATCCCAGGACCACCCAGAAATGTTCCCTGCACATGGACTCAAGAACATACATGAAGCACTTGAACATACATACCGCATATCCATTTTTCAGCCATCGGATAGTAGGGATGGGCTTCCCTGTGGCCACACAAGGCCAATAGAGATCACTGCCTATATCCACCTCTGTGTCATTGATATGTTCTACCCATTCAGGAAATGCTAAAAAGTAAAGAACATTGCAAATATCAAATGTAATTCTCAATATTCATCATAATCTTGAGTATGAATACTACACTTAATTGACCTTTATTATATCATCTATTGTGTGTGCTGTAAAATCAATGTGAAAGCCATTGAAAGTGAATTTTTATAGGTCAGCAGGTAAATTTTATCCTATATTATTAAAGCATGAGTTAACTATAATTCAATTTATAATTATTTTTCTATTTGTGAGTCATATTATGTTAGACAGCTAATACTGGAATAGCAGAAAAATATTTTATATTCATAACATAAATCTTTTAAAATGACAAAGTTTTAAAGAATTATGTCTTAATTGATTATATCATTATCTCTTCCATTTTTTCGGATAAAGATCCATTTTTTTCCCACTCCTTCAGGTGTATACTATTTGTCTTTTGATGTAACTTTGGCTAGTATCCACTGTAACATGACTTGGGCACTTAAATGCACTTTAGATGTTAGTAACTGCATGCAGTCGCTATAAATGGTGAAATCTATACTTGAGAGAAATTGATCACAGTCTCGTCAGCAGATCTGATCTATTGAGAGCTTTAAAAAGTGCTAGAAATTTCCAAAAAGAAAATAATATTTCTAGAGAGCAAACAAAAAGAACAATCTGATAATCTTTTAAAGTACTTAAATAATCTAAACAGATGTAGGTAAAGAAATTAATGTAAAATAAAGATGTAAAATAAGATAGGAATCATAAGTAGAGAACAGTATTTAATTTTCTTTGAAAATAACTTTAATTATATTCATTTTATGACCAAGTTAATAAATATATCTTGTATAAAGTATTTAATGTGTATAAGTAACAAAGGACATAAAACATTTTTATGATCTCACTGAACTCCATCATCATTATGTATGTGTGTATATAGTTTTATACATATGTACTTTTATAGTACATATAATTTAGTATATTTTTCACTTATCATTCATTTTGCCTATAAATATGAAGGTAGTTTTTAAAATGAATATTGATAATATGTTATATTAATTGATAGATATTTTATTTTATATACAATCTTGGCAATACATAAACAGGAATATCAGCACTGTTCCTGCCTTGGCCTCACACAGGTGATGTAGAGATGTCACATTAAAAATAAAATAAGAATTAATCTTGATATATCCTATATATGATTTAATTATGTAACTTTCTGCTTGTCTGATTAGACCAAAAGATAAGACTTACCATGCCTCATTAGTAAAGGAGAAACAGCAGTTCTCTTATATTACCTCTTGTAAATACCCGCCCTATTGCCCTGGTTCTTCTAAGGGATTACATGTTAGACAGTTAAGAACTCTACTCTGCTGAGAACCTGGAGGGTAGATTTCTTAATGTGCTGAATTAAAACCAGTCTATAAGCTCTGGAAACCAGACAGTGGTAGCTATATTTTTTAAAAATATAAGAATTTTAAGCAGAATTTTTCTCTCTTCAGGAGGCCACCCATGTACACTTGGTATGTATCAAGTGAAATTTGTTGGAGCATTAGATATACAAGTCTGAAGGGCAGGGAAAGTGTCTGGGTCAGAGTTTTGTGACTGTAATAAAAAAAGAGATTCAAAGACTAACCCCTGATTGCTCCAATGTTAGAAGGTCCTGGAGTCAGGAGGAGGATGAGAGCGGTGTATGAGGACATTAACAAAGTGTGGATTCCACATGGAAAGCACAGAAAGTGAATCATGGAAGAGGGAGGAGTTGACTGTGGTAACTGTTATTGTTGGATCAGGAAAGATAAACTGAGAACTGAGCAACAGCTTTAGCAAATGGATGTCATCAGTGATCATAAGAATGAAGGCTTTAGCGGAGAAGTGGAGATGAGGATCAAGTCAGAGTACATTTAACAGAGAAAAAAATAGAGACACCATTTTTAGAGATTATAGACAAATCTGTCAAAATTTTTATTATTGTTTTTAGGGGAAACAAGGAGAAGAAAATGGAGCAGTAAGTGAAGATTTTAAAAAGGAAGAAACAGAGGCACTCTACACTGATAGGAATGATCTAATAAGGAGAAAAATTGCATATGCTGTACAGAGGGGGTCCTTCGGGGACAATAACATTAAGTAAATTAAAGGGTAGAATCTAGTACACAAATAGAGGTGTTGGTCTCAGGTAACAACTGAATTTGTAGTAATAAGGGATATGGGCAGAGATGCAGGTATTAGGTAGATGTGGGGTGGGAGAATATGAAGGTTGTAATTACATTACCTCCATTTGCTCTGCAAAATAGGAAGCCAAGTTATCAACTGAGAGCAAGGATGGAGAAGGAGGTGTTACAGGTTTGAAGGAAATCACGAAAGCATGAAATGTTCACCTAAGAGTGGGAGAGTAAGTGGACTTGGGGAAAGGTAGTATAATTGCCAGGTAACAGTACGGGTTCACTAAAAGTCAATGATGAATTATTTAAAATGAATTAATCAGCATAGTAATGTTTATCTCAAGTCCTACTCAAGTTCCTGTGTTCAGGCACTGAGAGGCAAAGAGCTAGATTTTTCCAGAGTTAGCCTTTGCAAAGGTAGTAAGACAAGTAGAGAAATGAGTGAGCCGAAAGTGTTTATAAGAGAATGATGTTTTATATGTGTACACACACACACACACACACACACACACACACACACGTATATATAATCTCAACGTTTTTAAATTAATTATTATATACTAGTTTTTCAAGTATGGAAATGGCTATATAGAATATTAATGAAATTTATAAAACATTAAGACAACATATCTACCTTGAACATATATCCTTGCCTGGTGTCTATCCTTTCCTCTGATGTTCTCAGCCTCACATTCATACGTGCCTTCATCTTCCAGCTGAATGTTGAAGATCTTGAGCACTGCCCCGGAGGAGCTGATCTCGGCGGTGCTCGGCATCGGCTCCAGGACCTTCCTCCACCGGATATCAGGAACAGGACTTAAAACAGGAGATGGAAGAGCTAAGGGTCCACAATGCTTAGGGAGCCATCTTTTGTTTATGTTTATAGCTAAACATTTACATCATTGATTTCCAAAAGCAGCACAAAAATTAATGCATTTTTATATACCTGAATGAAACATGTTACTTACTTGCCAAGAGCAAAACACTCTAAAGTCACATTTTGGCCCATCAATGCATATATGTCCTTGAACTGAACTACAATATCAGCAGGATATGGTTTTGTTGTTCCTAATATTAAGAAAAGCAAAAAACATCAATGAATAAGCAGATTTTTTAAACACTGAATTTTTTTAATAGGATTAGAATTGATTCAATATAGATGGCTTTTCTCTGTATAGGTCTTGAAAAATATCATGCCACAATGTATGGATTTACTTGTTTAAGCATATTATGTATAAAGTGGTTTTGTATAAATTTTATCAAGAATTTTCAATCATATTGCCTCATTTTGACAGCTGTGTAAATAAATCTGATTAACTCACTAAAAAAAAATTGATGAAGTCTTGAAGGAGTACCAAACATATCTATAAAACATTGTGCCAGCTGCTGTATGGGACTTAGGAAGAAAAAGAAAGAGGAACGAAAATGAAGGAGAAGAGAAAAAGGAAGAAAGGAAAGAAGAGAGAAAAAAGGAGAAAAAAGTGTCCATTGAGAATAAGACAAAGGGGAAATAATTTGAAAATAGGGAAGGATAGAATGAAAAAAGAAAAGTGCCTATTTATACTTAACTGTGCTCATCAATATAGTTACTTTATTTAATTTATGTACCATAATAATCCTAAAAGATGTATAATTCTCTTACGGGGAAGAAATAGGCTCAGAAAGGCTAAATACATTTTTTAATATCACATGAGAGTGTGTACTTTCTACTATATAATGTTAAGGAGACAAAGATATACACAATGACCTGAAATGTAAGCCAAAATGAAAATAAGTGATCTAAAAAAGTAACAGCCACGGAAGATTATTGGAACTACAGCAAGTAACTATGAAAATTTCAGGTAAGAAAGGCATTTGAACTGCACTAGTCCAGGTTGAGGAAATAGCATATTACAACGAATTTTCAGGCATGTGTAAGAATTTTTTTTAAAGTCCAGCAATTTATATGATGTTGAAGTATACGTATTTGAAGATGAGCTTGAACCTACCAACTCAAAGGCTTGTAACTGTGTTACTAAGTTTTTTAAAACTAATTTCCTCATAGGTAACTACCAGTGGCTTTTGGTATGAGAGGTAATGTGAATCTTACCTTTGGTTTAGATAGCAGACCTTGTTGGCAGTTTTAAAGGATGGTGCATGGAGAAGAAAAATACAGAGTGAAGTCAGAGGTCTAAGGGAGATTGTTTCATAAATTCAGAAAAAAACAGATGAAGGTCTGAACTGGGACAGTCACAGTGAGAACAGAAAGGGTAGAACAGATCCAAGTTATGTTTTAGAGGCAGAATCAAGAGGACTGCCTATTGGATCAATGTTTTCTCAAGGTGGAGACTGAACTGCCCCATCATCAGAATCACATGGGATGCTGGTTGATACTGCGGATTCCTGGGTAACAGCCCAGGCCTGTTGGACCAGCATCTCTGGATTCCACATTTTCCTCAGACTTCCCAAGTGGTTCTGTACTAATTGAGAACCACTGAATTCACTGTCCTCAAGATGAGAGGAGGAAAGGAGTCGATTAAAAATGCTCCCCTGAGGTAGTGGAAATATAGTGAGATTGCTAAATGAGATAAAAACACCACAGAGGTTTAGAGGAAAGACAGGTGTGTTTGGAAGACTTTTTTTTCCCCCTAAACGTCTGAGAACCTACTGTGTGAAAATGCTGGGAGGTAAGGAATAAAAGACTCTAAACACAGGGGAACTTTTGGAAATGTAAATTGAGAGCCAACTGCATGGGGCGACTGTTGAAAGTTGTAAATAAGTAAGAATGTCTAGAAAAAAGATTAAATGAAAGACAAGAAAGAGGAAGATCTGGTGAAGGGTACTGCATGCATAGAATTTGTCAGGGAGGCAAGTGGGAGATGAAGAAAGAAAGGAGTCAGGGAAATTAGGCAAAGAAGGGAGAGTTCAAGAGAGACTGAAGCGACCAACTGTCATAGTTCATATAGAATCAGACTGAAAATCAAGCTTCCTTTGGATTTAGCAAATAAAAAGTTGTTTAGATTACTCAAGATTGTTTGCAATGAATACAAAAGACTCTGTGGAAGGAAAAGAATGGAGGAGAGTTTAAAGATGCAGGAAATAAATTAAATGACATAGCAAAACCCCTAAAGTCAAATGGGATATGAATCAGGACAATTGGAGGAATTAGCTTAGACAGGAGGAGAAATACTTCTCCCACCAAGTTAAAAAGTAAGAAATAAATAGAAACTAAATTTCTGGGGAAGAGTAAGAAAGAAAATTAAAGAAGTTTGTATTTCATGGCTTTTTTTAACTCTGTGAAGTAGTGTGTGGGAGTATCTACTATGGGAGGAAAAAAAGGAGTTCTATAGAAAGCAACTTCATAGAGGGATCATATCATAAATTCCTAACTGGGCAGGTCATGTGGATAGTCAAGCTTCAGACCTAAAACTTCTTTAGTGAGAGGTTTTTAAGCCAGCACTATCCATCCTTCTAGTGCATTTAAGTTAACACCCCTTTGAGATGTCAAAAGTAATAGCCCTTAACCACCCTTAAGAATGCAAATAATCTCTTTATCCTGCAATCCAGCCTGCCTTGCTTCCTCCCACCTTCCTCTAATTTTATGTTCCCTCCTTAATCTCAAATGCATAAAAGAAACTTCAAAACTGTTATTTTCTAGAGCATTTTGTAACAGGGCACAGCCAGGACCTCCGCAAAGGGTATTTATAATGGGGTCCAGAGATTGGGGTGCCCAAGAAAAATACATTCTCTCTGCCCCAGGGCAGGCTGCCATGAGGATGGGAGCCTTGAGCAGGGCCATTGAGAGTCAGTTTGCATGTCAAAAACAGGATAGCTTCATTCCTCCTATGCCAAGAGGGTTATTTTGCATATCACCAAGGCTAATCAGAAAGGTTTCAAAGACTTAATACAGAATGTAACTGGGAGAGAAAGAGGAGAGACAGGGTCCTACAGGAGAGATGGAGGGACACCGACTCTGGGGAAGACCACGTGGGAAGAAAGAGGGGAGAAAGGACTCTTGCTAGTGGGCCATGAGAAGGTGCCACATGGTTAAGGATTAAGAGCTGGAGATCGCGCGGTGATGCAGTGGATGGTGCTGAGACCCAGGAGAGGCCTGACTAGCCGAGCCCTGACTTCTGTTCTTTTTCTTCTGAAGCACGGTACCCCTGACTGGCCTGACTGGCCTAACTGGGCAAAGGGGGGCAGGCAGGATGGTGTGTGTGCTGGTGGTTGTTTTGAAGGGATTTTGATGTTTAAAACAACCATCAAATGAAGGTTTGTTTTATACAGGTTTGATTAATGGCTGAATGTATTTTGAATAAATAGTTCCTTTCCTTTTCACCAAACTCTGCCATTCAGAGTCATAATTCCAAAGGCGGTGGGCAAAGGACCCACAACCGAGGGGTCCTGGGGAAGGAGGGTGTCACTGTTTTGGTAATAGCATCTGCCCCCCCTCCCCCGCTGCCACCTCAGGTCCTTTTGTTCCGTAACAATTTGAGATCTTGCCCCCAGCGTATATAGTCAGTTTGGCTCAAATAAATTGTTACAGAAATTTTCTACAGGTTTGGACATTTCTTATATCAACACTACTAAGATTGAATACCAACAGCATGACCATTGTCTTGAGGAGAGTAATAAAAATGGAATCTCAGTGGTATGATGACAATTTCCCCATTATCATACCCTGCTTAAGGGTAGAGGCAGAAAACAAACCTAAATTTGTCAACAAAGAAATTAGTAAATCTTCAGAAGCTTAAACTCAGTGATTTGAATGTAGCAGAATGACTGAGACAAAAACAACGTGAAGTAAGCAAATATATCGCAATCTGATTTTCTTAAGAGGTGGTATATTTAAAAAAAGAAAGTAGTTTAATTGTAGCCTGGGAAAAAGACAGTCAAGTACGTCAATGGTTATAGTGTTTGGTGTCACAGTATAATACATATTTCCTTATATCAGAAAGGCAATCCCTATATTGATTTGTTTCATGTAAATAGTTCCCTAAGAATATCAGATTAATCCACCTGCTTTTCTGTAATAATATAGTTTTTAATCTAATTATTTGTTCTCTTTCATGAACTTAAGAAGTGGGAATGGCCATGAAAATAAGCAGATGCCAATGATTCCCCTCATAATTAATCAATTAATTCCCCTTGCAACTCATTAATTTGGTCCAGAACTCGTGACTAATGGCAAAACTGAGGAGTACTGAATGATGAAGCATTTTATTTTGTGGGGTGGCATCATGACTGGATTCAAGTTCTAGCAAGTGCAACGAGTTCCGAGCAAGTGCTGAAACATTTTTTTCTCATCAAAATGCAGAGTACAGTGTCAGACAAGTTCTGAAGCCAAGGAGTACCAAGGTGTACGTCTGTCCTGGTATTTGGCTAATGAATCAGTCCTTTGTATTCCCTGAACTAGACGCAACCAGTCCAGGCTTTGCCATCTAAGGGTACTTTTGTGTACAAATCACCTCTATTGAAAAAGCAAGGAAGAATCCATACAGTCAAAGTGTACATCCTCTACCTGCCTTGACTGAGCAGACAATTCATCTCCCCACAGGACATTCCTTTATTACTGCAGGGATTCCATAAGCAGATAACCTTGCAGAAACAATATAACAGACAAAATACTTACGTTCAGGTAGTGGAATGAGTGGGATAAATTTGCTGAATACACTCTTCGTAATAGAAGGACTGGATACAAAGCAGGAATAATTGCCTTTGTCTGACGCTTCAACATTGGCAATGTAGAGATTGCCATTCGTCTGAGACACAAATCTCCGTTTATCCATTGTGATAAATACAGGGAATTCATTTAGAAGCCAGCGGTAGCTAAGATCATCTACGAAAAAGAAAAAACAAAACATTGTCTACTAAATACTAAGCTCTTCTCCAAAAGCAAAGACTTTGTTTTCTAGTAATAAGCTAGCCCATCATCTAAGCTAGGCTGTCATAGAACATATGTTGGAAGGAGGCCAAGACAAACAATGTCAATTTTCTAAAAGCTACT